CAGCCACGTTTTAGGGGCTCCACGGCCACACGTGGCCTGCGGTGGCCGCCCGGGCGTTCCGTGGGCGCTGCCCTTTCTGGGGTGTCAGCTGGCGCTGAACAGACACCCTTTAAAATCCACGCATACTGTGAACGGGCGTGAGACCGAAGCCTGAACACGCGTGTCCACAGCAGCACGGCTCACAACGGCCCAAACGTGGAAACAACCCACATGCTCACCGACAGATGAAGGGATACACACAGTGTGCCCACCGCGCACGCGCGCGTCCACGGAGGAATGTGTCCACCGCGCATGCGCGCGTCCACTGATGAACGTGTCCACCGCGCACGCGCAGGTCGCTGCCCCGCCCACTAGCAGGAGCGAGGCGCCCACACCCGCTGCCCTGCAGACAGACCCTGAATGTTTGACGCTCAGAAAGGGAACCAGACCCCAGAGCCCACACGGGGTCTGAGTCCACGTGTGTGAAACGTACAGAACAGGCTCAGCCAGGGACAAGAAGGGGGTTCGTGGGGGCTGGAGGGGGTGACTTTTTTTTTTAAGTTTATTTTTTTATTTTTTTTTTTTGAGAGAGACAGGGTGTGAGCGGGGGCGGGGCAGAGAAAGAAGGAGACACAGAATCCGACGCAGGCTCCAGGCTCTGAGCTGTCAGCATAGAGCCTGATGTGGGCTCAGGGTTCGAACTCACGAACCCTGAGATCATGACCTGAGCCGAAGTTGGGCGCTTAACCCACTGAGCCACTCAGGTGCCCCTCAAAAATAAACTTCAAAGAGAAAATTCAAAAAATCCTTTCCGAGGGATGGGAATAGGGGTATCAGGAGGGGGCTGACTACTCTTTTTTCTCCTGCCATTGTGCGTTCTGTGCCCGTTTCCTCATGGCTAAAATGATGTAGCCATCAGTCCAGTGGTTGGCAAACTCTTCCTGCAAAAGGTCAGACACAGTTACTATTTTAGTCTTTGTGGGGCCGTGTGGTTTCTTTCAAAACGACTCCACTCTGCACGAAGGCAGCCAGAGGCAGTACATGAGTGGACGTGACTGTGTCCCAATAAAACTTTATTTATAAAACAGGCAGTGGGCCGGATGTGGCCCCACGGGTTGTAGTTTGCGGTCTACTGACTTCAATGCTATAACCCAACCCACGTGAGAGCTGCAGAAGCAGAAAAGAGCTTCTTTTTAAGTCATAGCCCGGGTGTAAGTAACGGAGGGTGGTCTCACATCTTGTTTTTCCGCCTTATGATGTGGTCCAAGACCATTCCGGCCGGGGAAGAGGCAAGAAGGTGAACAGGGATCCTATCTTTCCTGGAAGGCTACAACCCAGAACGGCGCACAATTCTGCTTGCACCCCATTGGCCGGGGGGTGGTCACGTGGCCCTCCTGCCTGCAGGGGACGCTGGGAGATGTAGTCTTCAGCCGGGCAGCCATGGGCCTGGCTGGGTCTAGCGGTCTTTGCTGCAAATGGGATCTTGATCCTTGCCGTTTCTCTGCCCCTCAGCCAGCTTCAAGCGCCCGGTGGTGATCCTGGGGCCCGTGGCAGACATTGCCATGCAGAAGTTGACTGCGGAGATGCCCGACCAGTTCGAGATCGCAGGTAAGGAAGCAGCCTTGTTGGGGGAACGATTTCACAGCCTCTTCCCCAGCGCGGGGGCCGAGGCAGCTTGATGAGGGGGCTGCTGCTGCTGCTGTTTCGGGAAAGAGTTAAAACAGCCACGGCAGGCAGACACGAGGCAGATGAGTCACCAGCGCCCCCTCCAAGGCCTGGGCCAGACGTCCTGAGCCAATCATGGCGCTCTTTGTCCGGATAGAGCCTCAGAATCCTTCTTAATACAGTTCGCCCGGCAGCCATTGCCAAAGCCATTGCCGATGAACCCAACGTGCCACCTGCCCCTTCCTTTATTGAGCTACAGACACAGCGTTGAGCAAGATAGACAACTGTTCCCCCGAGAACACCAAAAATTCACGAACAACTACTGAAACAAGCTGGGGGGGGGGGGGGGGGGGGGGGGGGGGGTCAGTAAATTAAAGCTCCAGGGCCAAATCTGGCCCATCAGCTACGTGTTTATACAGCCTGCCAGCTAAGAATGGTGTATCTACACATTTCAAACGGTTGAAGAGAAGTTAAAAGAAATGTGATGTGACACATGAAAATGATATGAAATTCACATTTCACCACCTATAACCTATCAATAAAGTTTTATTGGGATACAGCCACACCTGTTGGTTGACACACTGTGGCCGCTTTCCAGCGGAGAGAAGTGTTTGCAGAGCGGATGCCCTTGAATACAGCATCAGATCAAAGCCCCGTGGGGTGGCGATCTTGGTCAGGAGCCCCCCAAAGGAGGGCGGAGGGGCTTTTCTTGCACACACACACCGTCTCCTTGCCAAAGTGTCCCCTGGCCGGGGCTTTCGAGCGAGGCCGTTCTCTGGGCAGATGTCATCTCCAGGCAATTCCTGCTCCTCCTGGCTGGGTGACCCTGAGCTGGTGGCTTGCCCTGAGACCTCACTTCCTCGTCTCTCAAATGGGGTTGTGCTTGGCAGGAGGAATGAGTGTGGGAATGGTCTTCGTGCCCGTGCGAGGTGCGAGCATTTCAGGAGGTGAGGCCCTTTGTCACCGCCCCAGAAGGCTCAGCAGCCTTCAGGGGGCTTTCTCCACAGCAAAAGGGGAGGCAGGGTCTGTGGGAAGGGAACTTGGCGGAAGGACGAGGCTCCGGCGTGTGGTTTGGAGGGCAAGGTCGTCTTAACATCACTAGTCGCCGGGGAAGTGCCGATCAGAACCACAGTGCGAGGCCAAGCGAGGCCCGGGACGGGGCCAGAGCGTAACACAGCAAAACAGAGCATGGCAAGTGTCCGTGAGGATGTGGAAAGTGGGGGCCCTCGTGCTCGGCTGGGAGAGCGTGAGACCAGGCGGCCACTGTGGAAAACTACGAGCAGCTCCTCGGTTACACAGAGTCATCGTCTGACCCAGCGAGCGAGTCCACATCTGGTCTATACCGAAGAGAAGTAACGGCCGGGTTTCAAACGGGCACTTGCACCCCCACGTTCCCAGTATTAGCCACAGTGAAGGATAAACACAGTGTCCGTCCACACACTGGAGTATGATCCAGCTGTAAAAAGGAAGAACGTCCTGCCTCCTGCCACCACGTGGGTGGACCCGGAGGACACTGAGCAGTGACAGAAGCCGGGCACAGAAGGACACGTCTCGCGTGACCCCCTGGAGGAGTCCTGCCCACAGAGACAGAGAGTAGATGGTGGGAGCCAGGGGTGGGGCAGGAGGTGGGGAGCCAGTGTTTCATGGGGACGGAGTCTCAGTTCGGGGACATGGAAAGTTCTGGAGACAGATGGCGGGGGCGGCTGCACGACAGTGTGAGTGTGCCTGAGGCCGCTGAGCTGTGTGCTTAGACATGGTGAGTTTTATGTTCTGTACATTTTATTTTACTTTTTAAATTTTTTTAATGTTTATTTTGGAGAGGGAGAGAGAGAGAGGGAGAGAGAGAGACAGGGTGCGAGCAGGGGAGGGGCAGAGAGAGGGAGACACAGGATCCGAAGCAGGCTCCAGGCTCCAAGCTGTCAGCACGGAGCCCGACACGAGGCTCAAACCCGCAAATTGTGAGATCATGACCCGAGCTGAAGTCAGACCCTTAACCGACGGAGCCCCCCCAGGTGTCCCTGTTCTGCACATAACAATAAAATAAATTAGGTAGGGTTCTGCCCCACTCCCCCCCTTTTCCTTTTGGGCCCTCCAGAGCAGGGCATGTCACCTCCATCAGCCCCTGGCTGTCCTGGAGGGCTTCCTGGAGGAGGCAGGGCTCTATCTCGAGTCCTACAGAACGCATGGGGGATGGGAGAGCAGCAGACGCAGCCCGAGCCAAGTTGGGGCCAAGCGGGGCACAGCTAGTGTCTGGAACACAAACACCACATTGGGCTCCTTGCCCTGCCCCTTGTCGGCTCCGTGACCCCGAGCCAGTGACCTTATGTCCTTGAGGCTGTTTCCCATCTGCCACATGGTCCACGGCAGTGTAGGCCACGGTCAGGAGGGAGACTGAGTGCAGCGAGTCAGGCTCGTGGCTGTTGTTAGACTTGCCCTCGGGGTGATGGGCAGCCATGGTGGGTTCTTGAGCAGGGGAGGGGCAGGTAGGCCCGAGAATCTGAGCGGCGAGGGGAGCGCCCTTCCGCAGCCGCCGGTCACCTCTCCCTCCACAGACAGCGTATCGAGGACCGACAGCCCCTCCAAGATCATCAAGCTGGATACCGTGCGCGTGATCGCCGAGAACGTAAGCAGGGCCCCGCTCTGTGCCCCGTTTCAAGGGTTGGGAAACCAAGGCCCAGGCCTCCAACCCGTTCCCGCCCCGGCCGGGCTGCACGGCACAGACCCCCTCCCCCTCGGCGCCCCTCTCGGAGGTGCTGCGATGCCGATGCCGGGGCTTGAGAGGGACAGAGACACAGTGGCGAGCCCTGGGCCGTCACAGCCCCTGCCCACTGCGCTCGCGGGCGCCCTGAGGTCAGGGTCCACCTTGACCCCAATCCTCCATCTCCACCTCTGATCTTCTGACCTTTCACCTGCCTCCTGACCTATCCGCTGCGTCTCTGGGTGTTTCTCTCCCTGCCGTCCGCCCCGCCCCCCGCCTCCGCCTCCGCCTCCGCCTCCGCCGCGGGCTGGCGCAGAACAAGCACGCGCTCCTGGACGTGACGCCGTCGGCGGTGGAACGCCTCAACTACGTGCAATATTACCCCATCGTGGTCTTCTGC